TTTTTTTTTTTTTTTTTTTTTTTCTTTTTTTTCTTTCTCTCTTTCTCTCGATACAACCGAGAAAACGAACGATACGATACGACGAGAGATAGAGAACTACGGTCACTCTCTCGTTGTTCATCGTGACATGATGGCAATTTTTTTTAACTAATCGATTGTATTCAAACAACCGTTGTTCGAGCGCTGACGAAGACTGCGACGATCCCAGCACCAAAGCGGTGCGCGAAAAGGAACGTCGCCAGGCCAACAACGTGCGTGAAAGGTTAGTGAACACACGCAGTAAGCACACCCAAAGTTGTTTATTATATCCCAAATTCTCTCAGATATTATTCTTCCTTCTATTTATGGTACGGGACCACGGACTCCCGCACTCTATCCTCTCGTGTAATTTTTATGCATGCTCAACGTTTCGATCGAGTCGAGCAAGAAATGAAAGAAAAATTTAAAAAAGAAAAAAGTATATGTACGTATATATATATATATATATGTATATATACGAAAAATAAGAGAAAGCGTAAATGAAATAATTCGAGAAACAATAATTTTCGATATTTGGAAAAATGCTTTCTCTGTTTTCGAAACGAGGCCCGTATTTTAGCGTGACAATTAAAATGTTTCTGGTTAAGGACAGAAATGATACGAGATCAGGCGGAAGATCCACAGATTCTCGTGCTCGCCTCCCAATCAGTCTCATTTTAATTCACCTGCGATTCGGTCCCTGCCGCCCCCTCCCCCCTCTTCTTCTCCCCAGGCATGCTACCACCACTTCTTCTTCTTCTTCTTCTTCTTTTTCTTCTTTTTCTTTTCTTTTTTTTTTTTTTTTTTTTTAGAACGTACAAGCACATTTTTCTATGCATCGTTGCATCGAGTTCTAGACTCTTTGTTATCTTCTTTAATATCGATTCTTCTTCTTCCTCTTTTTTTTCTATTTTTTTTTTTTTTAAATTGTTACGATTATTATATTATAGATCTCTCTCTCTGTCTTTCTCTCTCTCTAATATGTTTCGCGATTCGAAACGAGAACGACATCCTCTTTGTATATAATTCAGATTCGTTTCTTTCAGACTCGGCAATCTTCTTCCGAAGATCATCTCTCTTCTTCCCTCCCCCTCGCCCACTCTCGTTCCATCCCGTCTCCACGTCTCCACGTCTCGTCGTTCACCCAATCTCCTTCCCTCCCCCGAAAAGAAATCCCCCTCCCGAAATTCTGAAAATTGTTTTCCAGGTAAATAACTCGGGACGAAGTCCGGGTGTCCACCCAGCGCGTTTCAATCCTGTTCATTCTCTCCATGCGATTTCTTTTACTTCACTTCTCTTTGTTCTATGTGCAAAGAATACGGGCCTTCGAGAAAGAATTGGAAAACCTGGATTTCTGTCCATAACCACACAAGTTTTCATTCGATCAGACAGATGTATAGCGATCTGCGTGTGTTCAACTCGATGAAATCGCAACTTGCATTCGATTCGGGTAGATTTCGAGAAATTATAATATATATAACGGGAAGTCGAAACTGTATATTTCTCTCTCTCTCTCTCTCTCTCTCTCTCTCTCTCTCTCTCTCTCTCTCTCTCTTTTTCTCTCTCTCTCTTTTTCTCTCCTTTCTACGAAGATTCCTCCGGTACATCGACTTTTCGTTTCCTTATTCGAACGAAAGATCGTCGTCGATTTCACTGCTGTCGAATCGTCGTGCGCGCTCGATCCAAAGGACAAAATATACACACACATACACACAGACACACACACATATATATATCGCCCACGTCAGGTGATTAATCGAGTATTGTTATTGCGCAACTGTTGTTCGAGCGCCGAGGACGAGGATGATGATCCCGATGTGAAGGCACAAAGGGAGAAAGAGAGGCGGCAGGCGAACAATGCTAGGGAAAGGTAAGAGAATCCGACGAAAGTGTGTGCAGTGAACTCATGGCGAATCTCCGCTCTTGCTGGCCCCCCCCTTCGCGTCGAGCGATTCGAGGAGAGTTTGGCCCGTATTCTATGTATATGTGACACAAAAGAGGCGATCAATCGCAGATTTTCAACCCCTTTCTTTCTCTCTTGCGAACGGCATCTCTCTCAAAGAGCAACGCGCGCAAAAATTTCCTTCCTTCCGATTCGAGGGAGAGATATTTTTATTAATTTTATTAAACGCACACCGGTGAGAAACCGGGTGGATGGGAACCGTTTGCAAAAGGAAAAGTTAAGGAAAAGTGTTGAAACGTTTATCCGAATTTGTGAATTTCGAATTTGCGAATCGACTCGAGCAAAAAGTTGATCAAAGTTTTTTTTCTTAATCTCCCTCCCTCCCTTTAGGATACGTATCAGAGACATCAACGAGGCGTTGAAGGAGCTCGGTAGAATGTGCATGACGCATTTAAAAACGGACAAACCTCAGACCAAGCTTGGTATCCTGAATATGGCTGTCGAAGTGATCATGACGTTGGAGCAGCAAGTCAGAGGTACGCGAAATTTCTTCTTCCTTTTCGAGGAAGAAGAAAAAGAAGATTTCTTGATATCAATATCAATATTAATAATGGAGGAATTCTGGGAATATATATTTATTTTCTCTCTCTCTCTCTCTCTATCTTTTACAGAACGAAACCTCAATCCAAAGGCAGCGTGTTTGAAGAGAAGGGAGGAAGAGAAGGCAGAGGATGGACCTAAACTACCCGGGCATCTGGCGGCGCACATAGCTCATCCTCATCCCCACCCCCACGCGCATTCTCAACCCCCTTTCTCCGCGATGCCTGTAAATATCTTCTTTCACCGATTAAAAGATGAGCGTAACACAGAGGGTAGGGGGGATGAAAGACGTATTTCTAATTAAGGATGTAATGATGTTGCAGGGCCCGCCACCTCCGCTTCAACACAATCCATCGCAGCCACAGTAGCAGCGGCTCAGTGGCGGTATGATCCTGTGCTAAGGGGTAGATACGGCTTAAACTTGTCATAGGATTTTTTCAAAGTTTTCCAGAACTCGAACATACAGATAGAAGATCTTTTCCCGATCGTGCCCGATTGTACCGAGCCAGAAGAACCCTTTCACGATCGAGAGTAAATATTTTCCTCTCTTTCTTTCTTCTTCTTCTTTTTATTATTATTATAATTATTAAAAACAAGTTTAATATTTTTCGAGATATATTTTTTTTACATCGTTTCGTCGAAGATTATCGTCAAAAACAAGTATTTTTTCATCGATTCGTTATTGGTAATGAAAAAAAATCTTTTCCACTGTAAAATTTCGATCTTGAAAGGATCATTACGTACATATATATATATATGTATTTATATATATATGTATATCGAGATTCCACTCTTCGAACGTACGTAATTCCTGTTACGTTCTTTACGAAGGAAACTTATTGTTTCTACTCTATATCGAGACGATGGTAGAGCGAGCGTTATCGAAAAAAAAAAAAAAAAAAAATACGGATGCCGCGTTTCCATAGAGAATGGAAAATTGCTCGATCCGTACGAAACGACTAGTGGTCGGTATACATGTTAAATATTCGTTAACAATGTTTTCCTTGGACGTAACTTGCTCGTACGTGGAAGGCGCGGTACGAGGGAGATCATCGGAGGAGAAGGAAAATTTTTCTGTATGTTCATGAAAGAAGCGTTATTAGAGGGAAAGAAGAAAACGATCGCGTGTGCTTTTAAGAGGCATCTACCCCCCTTCCACTCCCCGAAGGCGGCTTGAAATTATTTTTATAAATAGCGAGAAAAACAAAGGAATATGGTTCCTCTCTTTCGAGATGTAAGAAAACTTTACGTGTAGTACGATCGAGATTTTATTGAGGCGATCGATCCCCGCTACCGGAACACCCCACCTCCACCTCCTCTTCCTCCTCCTCCTCCTCCTCCTTCCCTCTCGTCCTCCCTCTCCCTTCCCCTCCCCTCCCCTCCCCGTTCTCTTGTTGAAGTTGCCCACTTTTTCTTGTGTAATGTAATCTATCGAGATATCGTTGCGTTATGTTGCGTGTAGGGCGGATAGCTCCAGGAGGTGTGCACCGCCCTTGACAAAGGGTGGAAAAAGGAAGAAAAAGAAAAAAAAAAAAAAAGAAAAGAAAAGAAAAGAAACGAAACGAAACGAAACGAAAAGGCGACGACGAGAGAAAACGTGACAATGGCCGAGGATGATCGCAACATGAACGGCGCGCTTCGCGAGCTCATCGTTCTCGCTCTCGTTTCTCATCATCGATGATCGATTCGACGTGTTTTTATTTTTTATTTTTTATTTTTTATTTCTTTTCTCTTTCTCTCTCTTTCTTTCCCTTTCCTCGGACTCGGTACTAGCATTCTTCTCTCTCTCTCTCTCTCTCTCTCTCTCTCTCTCTCTCTCTCTCTCTCTCTCTCTCTCTCTCTCTCTCTCAGATATTTCTATAGTTCGTGTAAATATCGCAAAGATAAGCAGACAGACAAAAAGAAAAGGGAACCGCGAGTTCTTTTACGATGGTCCTCGGTGATTGGTGATAAAAATGAATAAAACTGTATATATATATATTGAAGAGACGACTGTTTTAGCGAGCGTTCAGTGTGAATCGAGGTCCCGTGAAAGTTGGTTCTGGCAAATTTTCTGTACTTACGCGTGCGAACGAGATTGATCGAGAAAGCATAACGATTGACGGAGAAAGAAAGAGAAAGAGAGCGAGAGAGCGAGAGAGAGAGAGAGAGAGAGAGAGAGTGCGTGCGTACGTGCGTGCGTGTGCGTGTGCGTGTGCGTGTGCGCATGAGAGAAAAGAGAGGAGGAATTTCGCGTTGAATTCGCGGTGCAAGCACGCGGTGGAATCGTTTCTGTGTTAGCGTTTCGGACCGTGTGCGAAGGAAGTGCGTATATAAGTGCAAGGTTTTAATAACAATACGAGAATATATGTATAGATAAATGATAGGAAAAGGAGATGAGAGCGAAAGAGAAGAAGAAGAAGGAGAAGAAGAAAAAAAAAATATATCGGGTCATCTAACACAATCTAATACGGAAAAAGTTCAAACATATCTCTCGCATAATTGTATATATACAGCAGTAACGTACGCCTAATCAATTACTTTATTACGATTATTATTTTTATTATTATTACTATTATAATTATTATTATTATTATTATTATTATTATTATTATTATTATTATTATTATTATTTTTATTATTATTAATATCGTCATCAATATGGCGATGGTTATAGTTATTATTATTATTATTATTGTCACGATAATGATTTATTATTATTAATTATTAATTATTATTAATTATTATTATTATTATTATTATTATTATTATTATTATTATTATTATTATTATTATTATTATTATTATCGATTGATGATCGCCGAGGAGATCCTTCGTGAGAGTAAAAGGGGACATTTTTGTTTTTGAACAAAAATATAGCTCAACTCAATGTGTACCCAGTTGCCATGTATTTTAATTTATTTAGATTCTTAAATAAATTTTATTGAATAAAAAAAAAAAAAAAGAAAAATAAAAAAAAAATGGGAAAAAAAAAAATATGAAGAAAAGAACAACAACAAGCAAGAAATAAAGGAACCGACGATAAGACTTTTTTTTCGTAAGTGCCCGTGTTTTGCTCCGCCTCATTTCTGTTCTTCGCTCTCTCTTTTTCTCTTTTTTCTTACATTTTTTTTTCCTGTCTTTTGCTTCTGTCTACGCCTTCGCGAACACGATAGATCATCCTCTCCTCGAAACATATCATGCGTATTCGCACAGCTATATTTTTCTTCAAAAGCATATCGATCTGTTTCGCACGGTCCAAGAGCAAAAGGAAAAAAAAGGAAAAAGAAAAACGAAAAGAAAGAAGATATAAAATACACATCTTGCTTTTTCTACTACCTTTACATTCCTCTCTCGCTATTGTCTCAAAATCCGACCAACGATCGAACTTTCTCGACTCTTTGATTTCTTTTGAAACGTCATCCAGCGAATTGAGAAAAAAGTTGAAGTAGAATTATTCGTCCAGTGTTCGAGATAGGTAGATATCTATCGAGAAACAAAAGAAGGAAAGCGTAGCTCGTTTCAATATTCAGGACCGTCGTCGAAACAGGCCATAAACAGAAAAAAAAAATATCGACTTGTAAACGGTCGCAACAGTTGCAATCGTTTCTCGTTCATGAGAATCGTGTGGCCAACCCGATCGAGTTAACTCGCACAACCTCGCTTCTAACGTTTAATCGAGATTCCATTGATAAGAGTCGCGCCACGTCGCGGATAGATATCTTTAATATCTAATAAAAAAAAAAAAAAGAGAAAGAAAGAAAGAAAGAAAGAAAAAGAAGGGAAAGGAATGGAAACAAGCGAAAAGGAGGCAAGCCTAGGTGATTAATTGTTAATTGTACACCACGATACTACGATAGGAGATCGGCGGCGATTCATGGGATTCATTGAAAAAACTAGGCACGAAAAAAAAATAACGATACGCAAAATCGATGCGATCACACACTTATATTCGCGAATGGTAATCATGTAAAATAATAACGACAATAAATAGCTCGTAAGCCCGTCTAAGCTAGGCACCACATGTCGATAGTCTTAGATAGTCGAAATGAGAAAGAGGAGAGTGAGGAGAGTGTGCAATTCGGTTCCAATTGAAATCGAGGATCGCCGAAAAGGGTCTCTTCGCGTAGTTCCGTTACTGCGCGAACTTGTTCGTCTCGCTTTCAATCGCCACGGTATCGATTGCATTTTCACACTCTCTCGGGATACTTTTCTCTCTCTCTCTCTCTCTCTCTCTCTTCTTTTACTTCTGTCTCTTAAATTTTTTTTTCCAACTCTTCGCGCGAAAAGAGAGGCAGTGGGCATTTTTACGCGTGCGCGCGTGTGTGTTTTATGTATGGCCGACGAAAATGGAAACGAGTGGTGCTCTATAACGTTGTGATTAATAATAATAATAATAATCATCTTTCAAGTTCGACGATAAAATGGAACGAAACATAAGAGCTTAAAAAAACATTGGATGAAAATTTTGTTGCGAACGATTTTCTTTTCTTTTTGTTTTCTTTTTTTTTTTTTTTTTTTTCTCTCTCTCATTATTTTTAACAGGATAATCGTGCGATAAATTGTGAGAATAAAAAATTTTAATTGCTTTTAATTGCCAAAGAACCGGATATTATTTTCTATTCGTAATATCAAGAATTTTACTTAAAAATATATATATATATATATATATATATATATATTTATATATTTTTAGAAAAATGACGATTACGAATTAAAATTATATTTCTTAGAAAAATGATAATTACAAAATAATAAAAAAGAAATAAATAAAAAAGGGGGAAAAAAAATATTTACGATTTACATTATTATTCAGAATCATCGATATTAGTCACGTTTCGTATAAATCATCAATGCATTTTTGATGAATATTACCGATCATGGTAACATCTATTCGCCGTTCTAGCCATATACGTGATATATACGCGATGCGCAAATATTTATATTAGAAAACTACGTAGAAAAACTCACTGAGAATTGTTTCTTTGATTGATTATACTCGTCGACATTGAAATATGATCTCAAATTTTTCAAGAATTTTAATCGTCTAATCGAGTGTGCCCGAAAATGCCCATCACGTCTCTCTCTCCCCCCCCCCTTGTTTTTTATTCTAATTCTCTTAGCCTTTTCCCTTCTTTCAGCATATCAGATCGTATCGAGATCGAGATCGAGATTTTGTTACTTACCGAATATCATCGTGAAGATTGTATGGATCGTTTAAAGTTGAATCACGCGAGATCACGATTTTCAAAATTCTCTCAAATTGTGTTTGGAACTTTGAAACTCGTGTCACAAACATTGAATCGGATCGATACAATCGTTCACCGTTGATTGACGAAGTCGTCTTATATTTATATTATATTATAAGTCGTGTTGCGTTAATGGGAAGAGGAAAGAGATCAAGCAAGAAAGAAAGAAGGAAAGAAAGAAAAATGGAGAAGAGGAGAAGAGGGGGAAAAAAAAAAAATATACATTTCGTTGAGATATAAAAAAAAAAAAAAAAAAAAAAAGACANAAAAAAAAAAAAAAAAAGTCGATAAAAGTATAAATTTAGTAAGAATTGCGATCGGACGGCGATACCGATGACTCCTCTCGTTTGCTTGAGACACACGTGACAAGTCGACAAGTGAATTAACACAAGTGTATATTAGATCTTAATCGACATTATTGTATAATATGTAATTAAAAAGAAGAAACGTACGCAGGTCTGGCGTTGACTAGTTCGTGTAACACCGGGCCTTAACAAGATAAACGATCTTTCCGACATGCATGCGATCGTTAACAAAATCAGATGCGACTCTATTAACATCGATGAAGCACGAGCTGAAATTATTATGCATATATTGAGAGAGAGAGAGTGAGCGAGCGAGAGAGAGAGAGAGAGAGAGAGAGAGAAAGAGATGAAGAAAGAAAGAGAGAGAGAGAAAGAGAGCGTGAATGGGAAAGCGTGTGAGAACGAAAAGAGTGTGCGTCAAGAGCATTTCGTTTGAGAAAGAGAAAAAATGTATAATTATCACTAGTAATATTATTATCACTAATAATATAATAAATGTGCCATTTTTTCCATAATCACTGTTGTGTTGCTTGATTGCGACTTCTTTCGTGTTTCTTTTGTTTCGTTTTTTTTTTTTATATATATATATATGTATTTTTTTTCCGCTTGTTTTTCCATTTATTTATCGCTTGACATACTTTTTTTTCTTCTTTCTCACTCGAGCTTCCGTTTGTACAGTTATATACACTCCCAGTATTATATGCGTCACAATTATCGTATCGTTGCTACTTATATCGTTTTTATTCCTTTTTTAGATGCCTTTTAGATGCGTCTCATTTTAAATTTTAATAATTTTTAACAATCGCCCAAATATTTTAGAGGCAATAATTCAAAAACGCATATACATAGTGTAGATATATTTAGATATGTTTAATTATAATTTTAATTATCGGATAGGTGCAGCGTACGATAGATATTATATTTTTGATCAATTTTAATCGTATTCATCTTAAAGTTTTATATATATATATATAACATATAATGTCGTCGATCTGCACAAATTTGTAATACAGATTTTCAACAGAAGTTTCCAAGAAGAATGCGTTTCAATAATTTTTCTCTCTTTTTTTTTTTTTTTTTTTTTTTTTTTTTTTTATCTTCTACTTCTATCATCGAAATCGAGAACGAAACGTGTAGTTCGAAGGTGGATTATGTTATTCTTCGAAGAAGCGAAGAAGCGGAAAAAAATTTTATTTTAATTGGATATATTTATTCCTCGTCCTCGTTTTTAAAAAAAAAAAAGTCATTTGTATCGTAAATTCGATTTTATTACACCATAGATACGATAAAAAAGATTATTACGTAAAAAAAGAAAAAAAAAATTAAAAGTTGCAATATATAATATAGACGCAAAAAAATACGAATGATTAAATTGCTGATCGGGTTATATAATTATTACATTAACTTTTATAATACAAGTTTTATAATACACGTTCTAATTGATCGTTTCTTTTTTTCATCCTCGCGTCGAATCGGCTTAAACGGATGCTCGAAGAAAAAACGCTTTTTACGTGAAATTAAATTCTAAGCTTTTTATAATCGATGCACAGCCAATATTTATTTATCGTTTATTATTAATTATTATTAATTACTATTAATTAAACAAATATACGCAATTGAAAAAAGAAAAAGAAAAAGAAAAAGATCGATGCCTTATATGGTAAGTGTTCGTTTGAGCGTACAATAACCGACTATCTTGAATATCACGTAAGTGGAGACCAACACCGCGATATCAACCCAAAAATCGCGATCCGTCATCAAAAATTCCGACAATATTTTGTCGGGATTGCTGTAATGACAATATATAATGGGGCAAAACAATTTCTCCCGATTGAAGTCGTACATTGCGAGAATGATTGCGTGCAGGGAATACTTTATATAGCTTACGTAACTGACGTAATACATGATGCGTGGCATATGATTAAAAAGGATCATGAAACCCGAGAAGACCAACATGCTAGATGATAGAATGGCGCCAAAAAATGTGCCGTTCACGGGATTTAGGACGGAGCCTATCACGAGGCCCACGCTTTCCGATATCAGAGTGATCAAAATTGCCGGTATCAAGAACATAAGAAATCTGTTTACGTCGAGCGGTTGATGGCTTATGAAATAAATGGGGAGAACGTAAACGACGGAGAATATTATTTGTATGGGCATACTGCATATGAACGAGGCCAAGTAATACGTCTTCAACTTGTACCAATTGTTGAATCTTTCCTTCTTCAGCACGGGCATCTCCGAGGGGAACAATAGTACGGCCGGCATCATGCTCGTGTAACACAGATAAATGACAACGACTTGGATCAAACCGATGTTGTTGATACTTCTGCTCCCGTCCTGGCCGGCTCCGAAGTAAAGCAAGCCGAGCAGCACACCTATCGAGAAATGAATGCCCAATTTCAAATAAATGTTGGTCCAATCTCTGAACAAATGGACCGTGTAACGTTTCATCAGGACGAAGAGTTTCTCGTATTCCGAGGGTTGCCTGATCATCACGACTTTTTTCATATCCTTCCCATATTCCTTCTCCTCCTTCTCCTCCTCCTTCCTCGAAATCGCATCCGTTTGCCAATACTTGTCTTTCCTGCTTGCTGCCAACGCGATCAATTGATCGTTGAAATTCCCGTATTCGTTGGTCACCACCTCGATCATGAAATCGGCCGGATTGTGATACTTGGGACAATGGAGGCCAACGCTTGCGAAATAGGGAATCGTGTCCCTCGTAGCCCCCTTGTACATGCATCTCCCTTCCACCAAAAGGTAGACGTAGTCGAACATCTCGTAGACAACAGCGCTGGGCTGGTGGATGGTGCAGACGATGGTTCTCCCGGTTTTGGCCAGATTTCGTAACAATCTGATGCATTGGTTGCAGGATTGAGAGTCGAGGCCCGTGGTCGGCTCGTCGAGGAACATGATCGGCGGATTGTCGATCAACTCCAACGCGATGCTCAGCCTCTTCTTTTGCCCCCCGCTCAATCTCCCGCACCTCGTATACCTCGATTTGCTCAGATCCAGGTCGTGCAATATCTCCTCGATCAATATCTCCTTGAATTTTTCGTTGAGATTGTTGCCGATTTTCAGGTTGCTCGCTATCCACATAGTTTCGGAGACGGTGAACAGGGGATAAAATTGATCGTCCTGTTGAATGTAACAGCATTGCTTCTCGTAACCTTGCCGTATCTCTTTATTCCCGTTCCCGATGTATCTGATCTGGCCCGTACAATTTCTCTTGAAACCCGTCAAAGCGTTCAACAAGCTCGATTTCCCCGAGCCCGAGGGCCCCATTATGGCCGACAATTGCCCGTTCCTGAACCGTCCGTCGATCTTCCTCAAAATTTCTTTCCGCTTGCCTCGCCATAAACCAACGTCAACTTCATACGCGATGTCGTTGAACTCGATATCTATCGTGTCGACATCTGGCAGGCCTAGCAACACGCTTCTCTGACTCATCGCTGATCTTTTTTATTCTTTTTTTTAATTCCAACTATTACAACGACGAGGCGAGACGATTGCTTTTCTCTCTCGGCGAGCGTATCTATCGTCTCGCCTTATCTTATCCCTTTCTCAAACGATCACGAAATGTATTACGCGAAAGAGCTTCCGAGCAAACGAGATCGAAGCGTCCGACTTCCGATCCGACTTGAACGACTTTTCCGAATAATAATAGTCGTGGAATCCCGTACGAGAAACTGGTACGGGAAGACATTATTCAATTTTAAGATCAACAACACTTGATCTTTCTTTTTGCCGTCGCCTTCTTCGATATTTCTTCGCAATTCGAGATCGAGATATTTTTTCCCCCCCCCCTTTCCTCCCGTCGATTTTTCTTCGCCGTTCTCGCCTTGGGTATTCTTCTTTAAATTTCGCAATAAAAAGAATATTTCGCACGTAAACGATTTCACAATATTTGAAATTTATTTTCCTCGATTTTCCTCTTTATTATCGTTTCGGTTATCATCCTGAGAAAAAACGATTCGTTTCGTTATATTATCATTGTTTTATTCATTGCATATCTCTCCAATGAATCTGTAACAAATATGTTTCGGAATGTTTAATAAAATTAATTTTTGAAAGAATGTTTGCATCGTTATTATTTCATCGTAAATAATTATGTAACGAGATAAGATTAATTATATATATATATATATGTTATAATCATTTAATAATGATGGAAAAACAAAATAATATATTGCGTTTATTCATAGGTTTACTCTTTTACCATGATTTTCCTATTCGTAAGTACAGTCATCGTTGATATTACAGTCTATATCTATACTTATATATATATATATATTTCATTATGTATATTCGTTCAATTGTTATTATTCAGTTGCTCCGATAGTAGCTGAAAAATTTATTAGATTTAAAACACATTACGTATCGAACTACTTTGAAACTATAATTAAACTATATTACGCGCTATCTAAATTATGCTATTAGAATAGATTCGGATATAAGGAAATTAAAAATGCTTACTTTTCAAATTATAGCCAATTTATTATAAAGTTATTCATATAATTTTATCGATAAAGACGGGAAAAAAGGAAAGAACAGTCTGTTCTGAAGGTAGTCTCAAAATTTGAATTTTTTTTTAATTTTTTAGCGATCAACGCGATGATATTTGATATGATGTAATATGTGAATCGTATAAGTAACAATTCTTCGAGACGGATTATTTTATTGTCAATTCATTTTCAGATGAAAAATTTAATTATTATTCGAGTCTTCGACTCTCTTTTATTTTCTATATTTCTCTAGGTTAAACTAGATCCGCGCGATTTTTTATACGTCTGTTATTAATAATAATAAATGAAAGAAAGCATGATCATTCTGCGACTAGGAATTTTATATTATCCATTAATTAGTTATAAAATTGTTGCGAGGAAATTTATTGCCTCGTGAAAGCGAAAAAAAGGATCGTTCGACGCGCGCGTTAGTTCGCTTTGTAATTTGAAAAATGGCCATAATGGTGGAAATTTTTGTTTCGATCTCATCGGAATCATTTTGTTCAAATTGTTTCAAATTTATTTGCGACTATCAAGCAACGTGATAAACCGATCTTGTTCGTGTATATCCTATATCTTTATATCTATATAACGTATCCTTGAATAATATCTGAACAATAACATCAAGCAATTATATCTTTTATATCTTTTATACATGTGAATATTAAGTAGTTATTATCGGTCTTTTTAAAAAGTTATTAGTAAAAGTTAAAGAATAGAAAAATATTGATCGAATTAAAATTGTTAACGTATCATTAATAATTTGCGTAGTTTAAATTAGTTGATTTCCTTTAAAATCGAATATCTATTTATAATATGAATAATAAAGAATTTCATTTTAAAAGTGCCTCGAATGAATTCTTCAAATCTTCCTTCTTGATTTTTATACAATAATTATTTGAAAATAATATGAAAAAAAAAAAAAAACGTATAATGATAATGAGCGACGGCAGAAAAATAATTCTTCTAAATTATAAAATTATAATTTAAATTATAATCGTGATGTGTACTGAAATTGAAATTAATACATGCAATAATAATAACAGAATGAAGAAGAAAAATATTTAGAAGAAAAATAATTAGTAACGTAAGAAAAATAATTTTCTAAAAAAAAAAGAAAAAAAAATCTATTAACCTACACGTAAAAGTGATTTTTTAGCCTTCTGAATGAGATTTATGTAAGAAAGAAATAGCAAATAATGTTGTAATATCTATTTTAAAAACAATTTCAAGACTGTTTTAATCAATTAGAAATTATTTCACTGTGAAATATATATAGACAATAATAAATATTCATTTTTTTTCATCTTTTTTTTTTTTCTGAAATATATTTTCACTATTTTTTTTTCTTCGATTCAATTTTGATCGTACTTCGTTTCGAAATTATTGCAATTTTATCATTTTTTTCTTTTTTTTTTTAAATGCCACTTGATCATAAATTTAACGTAATGGTATAAAAAAATTATTTATTACACGATGTATTGATTTATGATCTCGAAAGTTTAATGACTTTTGAATAAATATCTATTTTCTAAGAAATATGTACAATATATATATATATATATATATATCGTATATACTATATTATATATACTATATATACTATATTATACGTATACTTCGATATTTCAAACAAATTTATCTTTTATAAAAGAATTATTGCTATTAGGTAAGATTTATACTGTTAAGCCTTTGTTTAATTGTTTGTTTGAATATCATTATCACGGCTAAGTACATACTTTGTCGTTATTTCTAATATGTTTACATTTCAACGTATCTAATCTTGAAAGAAGAAGTTTCGAGAGATAGGATATAATAATAACTGATCGATTCACTCACCTAAATTGAAACTCGAATATCGTTTCTCAATCAATATTTTAAACTTATTGCACAATTTAACACGAAATTAAATTTAGAGTGATTTTTAAAGATAATGTTTAAATATAATTCATTGCTCAATTCGAGAAACTAGCGACGATGTATCGACGATAAGCGACGATTTACTGAGCGCACCAGCTCAAAGACTGCGCGTCAATGCTCATCATGGACAAGAAGTAAGAATAAGTTAGCCGATATGCCCTCCTCGTAGCTAACCCTACTCGTTCAGCGGAATTCTTGTGATCTTTATTTAAATTTTCTGGTTTGCCATGTAAGTTCTTTTTTTCGTTTCTTTTTTTCCTTTTCTTTTTTTTTTAGCTTCCGCCTTTCGATTTGCCTCTCGGAAGTTAATTTCAAGGGCGTATATATTTCTTTCAAGAACTTTGAGAATGCGGTTTTATTATTCCTTTCGATTCGTGTTCGAAAGATTGTATCAACGTAATGCAACGTAAGAAACGACCAGTGAATCGAAGGATGATTAAAAATAAGAAATAAAAAATATATATATAAATATAATATATATAGATATTTTCTTTTTTTTTCTTTCTCTTTCTCTTTTTTTTTTTTTTTAATAACAATATGTAGAGACAAAGGAAAAATACCATGATGATTGAAAGAAAAAAATATGAATTTCACGTATTACAAGACACGTATCTTATTACGAATACGTAATTAAAAAAACAATGGATTTTGCTTCTAAACAATCTTTAAGAATTATATAGGAATTATGAACATATATAATATCTGAAATTCGAAATGATCCTTCCTTTTTTGATTTTGAAAGAACAAGATATAATTGTCGATAAAGAAAGAAATTCGCGTTTTTTTTCGTGTAAATTTTTGATAAATTTTGTATAGATAGAAAAATGAAGAATGGTAAGAATGGTGAAAAAGTTTCATCGGATATGAATACACGATAGATAAATAAAATTAATTTATGTACATGTAATAATGTAATAATAATTACATATACATTGTTATATGATATTTATAACTATTTAAATATTTTAATATTAAAATAACAATTTTTATTCGCTCATTAAACGAAATGAGCAAATACGTAAATAAATTATTTTCATCATTAAGATTAATGATTAAACATTTAATATGTACATTTATATGAATTTGTTCTTTTATATAAATATACATTATTAAAAAAGTCATACATATATATATATATATATATATATAAATTTTATTTTTTTATTTTATTACATATGTACATAAGATTGATGATTGATATAAAAGATTTTATCTAATATCGATATAATTAGTAGTTACGATGAAATTTTTAATTTTTTTATTACAGTGAAAATGAAACTTTTAATTTTCTTATTATAATGAAGTTGAAATGAAATGATAATCTTTAAAATATTATAGATTTTTTTTTTTTAAACTAGCTGTAACTACTTTAATGTATTCAAGAGTTTATTAAGTTAACAAAAAATGAAGGAAATGAATTAAATATTATAATTATTTCACGAAACAAGTTTTTGTGATATAAAGATTGAATACGTAATATAAAAAGATTAAATGCGTCTACGCTTTTGATTTAATAAATACTTTAGAAAATTTTTTATATTTATTATTACAGCACAATATAATAATTACGTAATATTTATATAATATGTATATAATATATATTATATAAAATATATATATTAAAATATTTCTGTATTTCTTATATATTACATACATATATTTTATATTTTATATTTGAATTCATTTTTTCGTTACAATTATAGAATGTATATTTTTTAATATTTATATAAATGTACATATATTATTTATTCGCATGATTATACTCGTAATATTTATTTATCTATTCTTGATTAATTAGTTATTACTTAGTTTCGAAAAATAAAAAGAAAAAGGAAGAATTAAATGTGAATTCAATTTCGAAATATTTATGTAATTATATTTTTTTTCAATTTAAAATTCTATTTAAAGGTGTGTTTCATTTTCAACAATTTCAAAAGAATAAAATATTTTTTTTTTTTCTTTTCCTTCAAACAAGTTCTTTGGATGTTTTTTATTTATTTCGCAATTTATTTACGATTCGTAATATAAAAATTATCATATAAATATCATATAGCTTTTTAAATAAATTTTTGATTTTTTTTAATTTGGAAAATATTTTAAAAAATTAATTAATATTGAAGTATTTCTGAATTCTTTAATAACAATACAATAATGGTAAAAATAAATATTTTTCATGGAAATAAAGATTTATCGTAAAAATTAATTCTCTTGAATATTTATTAAATCATTACATTGTACATGTAATATATAATTATAAATCGTGATTTTAACTTTATCTACTTATGTAATTTTTTTGTTTGCAGAAGAAAATATTAATATTTAAATATTCATTTTCTTCATAAAAACTGTCAAATAGTTGCAATTTAAATTTATTATTAATATGATATATGTAATTTGTGTGCAACTTAATTCCATATAAATGTCAATTATTTATATAAATTGCATCATAAAATTTTAGTACTTTAATTTAGAAAAAAAGATTGTTAACGATTGTTATTAATACAGTTTTATTCTTGTACACAAATTTTTTCACATTTACATCTTTTTAAATATCTTAATGCAGATATAAACTTTAAAAATAATAATTTTTAAAATTTAAGAATAATAAATTTTGCTTTATAAAATATATCAACTTTTCATTGCAATAAATTATAAATTAACAATAGAAATTTAAAAATTGATAAATTATTGATTGACAAAATATTTTCGCAAAACTTTGTAATCACGTTTAATTGCGTAATCAGAATGTACAAGGTGATTCGCGGAAAATATAAATATAGTCCAACAGATAATTTTCATATTTCTTTTTCAATACATTGAAAAAATTCTTATAACATAATGACTTTTAATCATTTATTCTTAAAATATATATTCAATATTTAAATATAGAATTATATAATGTAAAATTATATTTTAATTAAGCGTAATACTCAATATTATCTATTCATTATATTTCATATCACTATGAAATTACTCATAAGATTTTCAAATAAGATATAAATAAGTACATAATGAAAAATTTTAACATGCTTTTGAAAATCCAAAAAATTCCAAGAATTTTAAAAATTCTAGGAATTTGACGTCATTTCCAAGAATTTTCTCAAAACAAATAACAAAAAATGTAAATAAACATTGAAAATCAAAATAAACAGCCCACTGTTTATAAACAAACGGAAATTTTAGGACTGAATACCAAAATTTTTACAAATTTTCGAAAATTTCAAGAATTTGACGTCATTTCCAAGAATTTTGAAAATTCTAGGAATTTGACGTCATTTCCAGGAATTTTCTCAAAACAAATAAGAAAAACTGTAAATAAACATTGAAAATCAAAATAAACAGACCATTGTTTATAAACAAACGGAAATTTTATGACTAAATACCGAAATTTTTACAAATTTTTGAAAATTTCAAGAATTTGACGTCATTTCCAGGAATTTTCTCAAAACAAAAAACAAAAAATGTAAATAAACATTGAAAATCAAAATAAACAGACCATTGTTTATAAACAAACGGAAATTTTAGGACTGAATACCGAAATTTTTACAAATTTTCGAAAATTTCAAGAATTTTACGTCATTTCCAAGAATTTTGAAAATTCTAGGAATTTGACGTCATTTCCAGGAATTTTCTCATAACAAATAACAAAAAATGTAAATAAACATTGAAAATCAAAATAAACAGAGCATTGTTTATAAACAAACAGAAACTTTAGGACTGAATACCGAAATTTTTACAAATTTTCGAAAATTTCAAGAATTTGACGTCATTTCCAAGAATTTTGAAAATTCTAGGAATTTGACGTCATTTCCAGGAATTTTCTCAAAACAAATAACAAAAAATGTAAATAAACATTGAAAATCAAAATAAACAGACCATTGTTTATAAACAAACGGAAATTTTAGGACTGAATACCAAAATTTTTACAAGTTGTCGAAAATTTTTGTAAATAAACATTGAAAATGTAAATAAACAAACGGAAAATGTAAATAAACAAACTTTTGTTTACAAATAAAGCAACATTTTTAAAAGAAAACTAGAAATATAGAAATTTTTGAAAATTCCGAGAATTTTTTATCAAATCGGAGAATTGCTAAAATTCTTTACTTTTTTGAGTTTTCGTTTATTTATGCTGCAACAATTTTCGAATCGTAATTTTTGATATTCGTCGTAATGAAAGGATTTCAGGATTGGTGTGCAGATATTTAAATAATAAGATATAATTTTTATAAAAATGTAAATATTTATTGAAATATTTATCAAAATACGAAATACAAAAGTTTTTTTAAATATGTAAAATTACAATTAAATATATTTCTTATAATAATAAATATCATATAATATTATATAAATATATATTGTAATATTTTTATTATGTATATGTATAATTTTTATTATATATAATTTCCTCATAATTATATTTTAAAATATAAAAGTACATAAAGCAAAATACAATAAAAACGTTTTTTAACAATAATAATCGTTAACATACATTCTTAAGTTATCTCTATATTATGATTAAACCGTTCCAATTTGTCCTTGTTAACCGTGTGTGATGATGGACGGAGAGAAGAGGCTAACAAGTTGTCTAATGACAGTAATTGTATATAGGTTGAACAAAATAGCGTAGAATCATGACTGATCATGGTTGCATAATCAGTTCTATTTAAGCAATTTATCATATCAGTATAATAAACGAAGTAAATAAACGAAGCCAATATTAAAGGCATGGTAATATGATTTGTCTGTAACATACAAAGATTGATTTATCAAATCATATATATTTTATATATTTTATATATATATTTATTCTTATCTATATAATAATAAAGTCTTATCTATAAAAATAATATAGAAAAATTATAAATATTTTTATACAAGATATATAGAGATAGAGAGTTTAAGATTTTATTTGTAATAAATAGCTCAAAGAAGAGAAGCTATTTATATAAATTTTCCTATTATTAATTTTTACAAATATCTTGAATAAATGACTAAGTAAAGTGGGAGATATAATAAAAATTGTAAAAACAGTATAATCTGAAGAGTAATTAAATAAACATAGATAAGAGGCGCAATATAAAAAGATAGGAATTA